TGGTGCTGCAATAATGTCATCTTAATAGGCGCACGTATCAATCTTTTGGTAGAGCTGCTCGCGGCGCTTTGAAAAATTATTTATCTTGGCTACGAATTGTTCTTAATTTGCAGTCCTAAAGCTTGGCACACTGTACAGAAGCTGGTTAATGTATCTCGCTGCTAGACCACCTTTATTTTCCTTTCTCTTTTTGGACAGCGCCACTAACGAGCGAGTTAATTTAGAGACTGGTGTCTTTAATCCAAAAATTAGAAATAGTGTATGGCGTATGGATTCCTACATCCGGTCAATACTTTTTGTCCTCAACTGTATATCTCTAAATACTAACATTCTTTTAATATCTGTTTACGATTGTACTGAATACGTTTTTGCTATGCTATGTCCACCCTCGGATTTAATATATTCGGATCTAGCAGCCGTTTTACCACTAACTCCAGTTTGATTGGATCTATTACAAGCTATTTTACAAGTTAAGAGGTTCTGTACTCTCAGCGTTCTTTTACGTTATCGAGCCATTGCTTGGTGCGTGTGCTGACTATGTGTCTATAGTCATCGAACCCCCCCCCCCCCAAAAAAAATACAATTTTTGGGGGATATTGTGGTCACATCCACTTGACTTTGATTTTGCCCACGGTCAGTAGCATTATTTTTGTGGTATTCCTTATTGAAGTGTTTTATTTTTTTCTCTCAGACACCAAAGATGCAACGAGGCATGACATCTCGAATACGAGAAGATGCGATAGAGAGAGGATGAGATATTCTACTGATATGTGTATTTGTGTTGTCAATACTGTATTCCTTTTCATGTGTATAGTAGGCCTATATATTAATCTACCACATGGCTATTAGCAGTAAGAACAAGGCAACCGGTTTTTTAAAGGCTTTGCTTATTGGTGACCTATTCCTATTACATTATTGTTGAATTGTGCTATCTTGTTTTTGTTTGTAGAAATTAAACTGTCAAGTTACTATCATCGTTCAAACGTTCAAACGTTGTGCGGTTGTAAAATTATGTTACGTACATATGGTTCTACAAAATAACGTTTTTATCACCAAACTGTAACGTCGTCATAAGGTTCTTAGAACGTAATATTGTTAGCTGGGTTTATTATGTAATTATTTCAAAACATCTGCATTCAAATCCGACTGTTTCATCTTAGACAACTGTTTAGATCGCTTACGTCCCAAGCAGTTGTGCATGAATACAACTCACTTTCACAAGGCATCATTGCTCACAATTATACTACAACTCGGCTACTCATAGGCTCCAGAACGTTTCGACACATTTTAATTAACCTTAAATTTCAATCTAACATTTATTTTTATTCAGCATTAAGAACAAGTTATATCGTAAAGTACAACATTAAACAAATCCTCACGAATTCAATTGAAATATTGAATATGTCTAGCTCATATCTACGTTGTATGTTACATTCTTTTTATTGTTTTGAATAAAGAATGATTCGATAGTTACACGACACATATCAAAACAAATATTTGTTTCGCTGATTTACGAGGCTTTTACTAGAAGATCCTTAGGATATGCACGGATTTTCCTTAAACACAGAAACATTGCCAATGATGAATTAATACAAGTTTACACGAATGTACACATAGGCCTACATCAATTTCAATGAGTTTTGCAACTAAAACACTGAATCAACATCATCGCATTGTGTTGTGCCACGATGAGACGGTGGCTAACTGGGCCCGAAGCACATATTAATAGAGGCCCAGTTGCTAAGAATATCACATTCTATTATTATTTCACCTTTAGAATACACAATCAGTCAAAACAAGATTAAACCTACATTTGAAAACATTCAATAATAATTTTAGATAAATTTATACATGCAAAAATGTAGGTGCTACTCATAAATAAATATTGATAATTTTACTACAGTAATAGTTTTTTGAATCACTTTTTAAAACATTGCATCGCACAAGTTTGTATTTGTTGTACCGTATATATTGAATATCAAGAATTGTTTCATTTCATTTCATTTATTCAGACAAGTGTCTTGGGCCCCAAAAGCAACAAAATCACCATGGCAAAAGTCTGGAGCCCCAGAAAACAAAACTTAACTACAACAAAATATTGTTATTGATTCATGATTACATCATAAGCTGTGTTTTGATCTTTGAATTAAGTTCCTCAATGAAGTACTATGAAAACAGGAGTACGACCATTTTGAAATTCATATGTCTAATATTTTACTTTGAAGAAAATGAACTCTAAGAAACGAACTGATAGTTATTTTCTTTTTGTTTTACTTAGCAATTCAACCAACTTCACTTATTGTTTCAGATTTACAAAATGCGCTACAAAAACAATTTTATGTATATAGCATGTGTTAATAAGAAATATTAAACTTCTTAGAAAAACTGAATCTCTTTTGGTCAAAATGACCTCATACTTGTTTTTCTAAATACATCGAATTTACCTGGCATCTAATACGACTCATTTTGACAACATGTTCATATTATTATAGGACTGCTATTATTATTATTATTATTATTAATATTATTATTATTATTATTATTA